GGGCTTCTTCACCCCTTTTCTTTTTTAATATAAAGCACACACATTCGTGCGTATTCGAGAAAAATAAAAGATACTACGTGCATGCTGCACGCTACTGCCCGTGGGTGACGGATGGATGGATGCCGTCGTAGACGAGCAGCCACATCGGAGAACAACTTCTCAGACGCCTGTGTAGCTCCCAAAGTGCTATGCGTGTTGATCTGCAGCTGTGATTGTTAGATAAATTGATAGAGTTATGCGTGTATGTTGCAAACTCATCTATCTCTTCTTCTGTTGGACTCTCCCTCTCGCTGTAAATCTTCTTTCCTTCTCCTGTATGAACTTCGGGTGAATCCTAGCGATCTCCCAATGCTAGTAAGCCACGATAACTTCTCAATATATACAGCGGTCCGAGATCAAAGGGTTCAACGCTTCCTTCAATCTTTACATGGTCATCAGAGCCTATCCTCATCGCATCTAGCAACCTACGAGAAAGCCTTCAGCCCGAGAGGAAAAACAACCTAGCCGCTGTATTCGCTGTAGATCAACGCCATGGCAGGAGCCGATGCATCCACCGCCGCCGCTACCATCTCCACCCTCACCACATCCACCATGAGCGCCATGACTACCCAGTCTGCCGGTTCCTCCTACGCTTCTTCTTCCACCTCCAGCAACGGCGCTAGCTCCCTCGGGTCGCCTCCGTCAGAGAAGCTGACGAGGACGAATTTCCTTCTCTGGAAGGCCATCGTGCTACCCCAGATCAAGGGGGCACAGATGGAGCACTTTCTGGACGCCGCAAACATGGCGCCCCCTGCCACCATCACCATCACCAAGGATGGGAAGGAAGAGCAGGTCTTCAACTACGCCAGGACGATCTGGTACGCCCAGCAGTAGCAGGTACAAGGTTACCTTATGGGATCTCTATCATGTGAGGTTCTTGCGCAAGTCGTTACTCTCCAGACGCCGGCCGAGGTGTGGAGCGCCATCCACGCCTTCTTCACTGCGCAAACACAATCGCAGCTCGTCAACACTCGCATCGCCCTTGCAAATCTTCAGAATGGCAACATGGGGATGCCAGAGTACCTCGCCAAGATCAAAGCCTTGACGGACGAGATCGCCTGCACCGGGTCTCCGCTCGGCGATGGGGAGATCGTCTCCTTCGTTCTGAAGGGTCTGGACATGGAGTATAACTCGGTGGTCTCAGCCCTCTCTGCCCGCGTCGAGCCTGTCACCGTCACCGAGCTCTACAACCAGCTTCTTAGTTTTGAAGCCCGCATCAATCTGCTGCAACAAGGAAACCTGCGTCAATCTTCGGTAAACGCCTTGACTCGTGGTTGTGGCTATGGTGGCCGAGGTCGTGGTCACCAAGGCCAGCAAGGGCGTGGCCGCGGCAACAACAACAACAATGGGCGTGGGCGCGCCAACAACAATGGCCCACGCCCCTCCGGCAACAACGATGGTTGCCCCCGAACTCGATGCCAGCTCTGCAAGAAACCCGGTCATGAGGTACTTGATTGTTGGCATAGGTATGACGAGAATTACATGCCTGAAGAGCGTCATGTTCTTGCCGCTTTGAGAGAGCAAGGAGGAGAAGGAGACACCGTGTGGTATGCTGATTCTGGAGCAACTGGTCATATTACTGGTGAGCTTGAGAAACTCGCAACTCGTGAACGCTACTATGGCAATGATCAAGTGAACACTGCTGCAAACGGTGGAGGTATGGACATATATCATATTGATCAAGCTTTCATTAATTCCCCTACTTCTATACGTGATCCTATTCTTAAAGATGTGCTTCATGTCCCACAAGCTAATAAAAATCTTGCTTCGGGGGTGACATAGATGATGTAGATGCAAAATAAATTACATCTCCGCCTTCATTTCCGCCTTCTAGAGATGTAAAATACAATACCTCGCGATGTAAATATACATCTCCACCTACAAGAGATGTAAAAACGGCAACTGCGCGTCAACCGCCTTCATTTCGTTTTCGCCCGCCCGCCTCTTGTGCGCCGCCCGCCGCCCAGGCCATGGCCGACTCCGGTGACCCCGCCGCCGCGCCATGACACCGCCACCTGATTCGAGTCCCCTCTGCGATGCCCCGCCCGATTTGAGTTATCGTCGTCGGCCATTCGAGCTCCCACCACCGGCAAGACGCTCGGGCGCCGCGCTGATCCTCATCGGTCGTCCGCCAGCGCTCCTCTCGAAGCTCGGCCTCCGGTGCTCGATCCCTTGGAGTAGTAGTTTTACATATTGAAATACATCATATGTTGGAGTTGCTCTTTTGCATCTCCAATATACATCATCTGTTGGAGTTGCCTCTTTTCTTGAGATGTAAAATGCATTTTTTGGAGATGTAAATTTTCACATATCCTGATTTACACCTTCAAATTTGCATCTTCTATGGAAGATGCTCTAAGGATGGGTGATCACCACACCTTTTCCCCTTGAGGAAGTAGAGGAGGCTTTGAAAGCCACACATCCTCATACCGCATCGGACCAGATGGGTTCCCATTGCTCTTTTATAAGAAGCGATGTGCCCTAATGGGGGCTCAAATCTTCAAGTTGGTGGATGACTTCTCTAAGGGTCTCCTCGATATCAAGAGTCTAAACTATGGAGTGCTGACTCCCTCCAAGGTTAGTAAGGATATTTATCCTCCAATATAGCCCGGTTGCCTTGATCAATGTGATCTTCAAGGTTAGTGAGGATATTTATCCTCCAATATAGCCTGGTCGCCTTGATCAATGTGATCTTCAAGCTTGTGGCAATCCCTAGAGAAAAACACGCGACGAGCAATATTCGCGCCACATGCTTTGGCTTTGGTTAGATTCCTAGACATGGAGCCCCCCAATTTGCTTCCTTCCCGAGTCTCTTCAACGTTTTAGACAAATCCAAATTGTAGGATTTGTGACATTTGGATAAATCTCATATGACCCTTCGGTTTACATACTCTCCCTTGCCGGATGATCGGTCTCAATGGACTAACCTTGTCACTTTGCTTCAAGATGCCCACCCAACTATCAAGGAAGACTCCTTTGTGCTGGTCCTTGAGTCGTATAGTTAGTTTTTCACAAGTTCCTTCTACACAACAATTCTCAAGGGGTGAGGTTTCCAGGTAAAATTAAAATCCTTTTGTGGCAACTTGTTAGAGGTATGTTGCCTAGTGGAGCTCAAGTCTCCAAGTTCCATGCCCCGTGGGACGGAAAATGCTAAGTGTGTGGGGATGATGAGAACATGGATCACATCTTCTTTAGATGTATTTTATCCTAGTTCATGTGGAGTTGCATTAGAGATGTTTTTGGGTGCGTGTGGGCCGGTCGTCATTTGAGAGCTTCAACGTAAGGAATGGTCGGTCCCATTCATGATGTATCATAGCTTGGCTTCGCCTTATTTGGAAACTATGGAACCTTACAAACAAAGCTCTTATTGAGGGGCACCTTTATTAAGCAAACTCGCTAATGACTTTTACAAGATGACACATGTTTTATAGCTTTGGAGACCTTTGAGAAGGTGCCAAGAATCACTATGTGTCAACGACCTCATCTCAAGTCTACGCCCCCATGCGGCCACTCTTCCGTGCCGCTTCATGGTGACTCAGGCAGTGTTAGTGTTCGATCTTCATTAGCGAGGTTTTAGTTGCTGATCTCCATCTTGACATAGCTATTTACTCGCTTTTGAGCACATCTGGCATTTTATGGACAAACATCAGACCTCATGTCGTATTCGGTAAACCTAAGGGCTTCATAGTAAACCCTAGCGTGAGCCCTTTTTTATGAAATAAATTAGGAAAATGACATCCGGCGAACGTTAGACTGGGCCTCCTAGCCGACGCTCTCAAAGACGTCTGATCACGATCGAACGAACGGTAATTTTTCTGCAAAACATGGCAAATTTTTTATGCGTGTGTTGGCCCTACATGACAACTTTCGCCTTCGATCATGCCGAATCCTACAAAAGTTGCCACGACAACTTTACTTGGTTCAGCATGGTAAGTTTGATGTTCGCTGAGGAAGATGCTTCAAGAAACGTTCCACAGATATCACGGTCAAAAAATATGCACCCAAAGTCAAGGACCAAAGTCTCCTCAAACAAATCACAAGAATCACTTCTTTGGTGTTGAGCCACAGAGAATCATATTCCTGCAGCAGTAGTAGTAATGATCAGTTTGGAGGAGGCTCGTGGATGGACGGGGCCCCGCCTTCTGTTGTATCCTGGCCTGATGACACGCCACTCTTTTGACCCTTGCTCCCTCCTCTATATCCATGGCCGCCCGTGCCCCGTCCCCTCTCACACATTCACTTCCCATCCCCCTCTTCCTCCCCAACACCAAAGCCAAGAACCACCACACCTCCGCTCCCTCCAACTAAACCCGCATCCCCTCCGCCCTCTCCCTCCCCGCCGCGAGCCTAGAGATCAGCCGCGGCGCGTGCGAGCCGAGAGAGGGGGGGTGCAGTGCGGGATTGGTTGCGCGGTCACCTCCGGCGGTCGCCATCGGCGCCCTTTTCCACCCATCTCTTTAGGCGTCCAACTCCCGGCCCGGCCCCGCCTCGCCTCTTGCTTTCCCACACCCCTGCTTCAATGATGATGGGGCGGTGGCGGTGGTGGGTTTGGTCCTGAAGCCCCATCCATCCCCAGGTCCCAATCCACCAGCTGCTCCTTTCTCCCCCTCCCTCCCTCCCCGCTTCTCTTTTCAGCTAAGGTTGGACGGACGGCAGGCTCTCTTTTCCTTTCCTTGCTGGGGATTGGGAGGCCTTGAGTCGAAGCCACCTCCCCCGTCCACATCCCCGCGCCCGCCTCCCTCCCTCTGCAATTGGCTCGATTTGGGCGGTTTTCTTGGCCTCTTGGTTGGAGTCTAGGGCCAGCGCCACCACCAACCTGCGCGTCCCGTGTGAAATTCGTGTTCGTGCTCCGAGCCTGTCAGTAGCGAGCTGCCTCTGCTGGGTCGAGTTCTTGGTTTGCTTCCGGCGAATTGGTTTCCTTCGAGTGAGGGAGGGGATTTTCTCTGGAGGGTGTTGTCCTCATGAGGACGGACGTGAGGAGGGGCGCGGCGGCGACGGGGAGGGACCAGTTCCCCGTCGGCATGCGGGTCCTCGCCGTGGACGACGACCCGGTGTGCCTCAAGGTGCTCGAGACCCTCCTGCGGCGCTGCCAGTATCACGGTGAGAACTTTGTTTTGCTGTTTTACAGTTCAGGGTTGTAATTTTGTTTAGGAGCCGGCTACTCCGTCAGGCGCAGTCAATTTTAGTTGCTCTGTTTCAGAAAATCTGCCTGTTCCTCAGTGTCCAGGACAACCACTATAAAAATTGCTGTTGGTAGTTGTCACGGCTCACAACTAGATTTGGTGTACTGAACATCATATATAAATGCTGCCTGCAGCCAGTGGCGGAGCTAGCAAATTGTCGAAGCCTGGGCACGACGCAAACTAAAATTTACTTAGGTCTATCAACACCAGAAGTATCATATATTTAGGTAAACATCATGTGTAATATGCACACTAATATTTCATACATCATATCAATAAATTAAAACATGAGATACAATTTACCAAATAAAATTCCAATCTCCGATGTTCATCCTTGTGCACAGATGAGAATCTACAAGATACAACTCATTATCAAATAATTAAATTTCCATTGAATTGAAGTGCAAAAAAAAGAGAATCTACAAGATACAACACATTACCAGATTATAGAATTTTCATTGAATTGAAGTGCCGATCGTGACTAATACAAGCACCATCCGCCGGAGCCGAAGTGGAATTTACACAAGGGGCTGCCGCTTTGACTTTCGCGCTTAGCCTGATTAGGCCCAGGCGTGAATCATCTCTTGCGGTCTTGCTGACCGCCAGTGCTCCGTCAGTCCACCTCGCCGGTCGCCGCCTTCAACCGCCAGAGTTGCTAGGGCACGTCGTGCGGCGTGGCGCACAGACGAATAGGCGTGCGAGGTAGCCGCCCAGGCGAGGCGAGCGATGAGGCCACCGGCCTCCTGATCGATGACACGATCTGATTACCTATTATTATGGCCCATGTAGGGAAATTAATGGATGGGCCTTTGACGTGGGTAAGCCCAAGAGGCAAAAATAACGACCAAAGTAGCCCAATTTGTGAACCAGATGTATTTTTTAGCATATATTGTACGTATTCACAGATTGTGACTCTGGCGCTTGGAAAATTAGCAGCGCTTGAGCCCGGGCACGTGCCCGGGGTGCCCGGACGGTATAATCGCCCCTGCCTGCAGCCAAAGATTGAGTACCTCTCGATGGATAGATTCATTAGATTGCGTGACCTGAATTTATGATTCCCTTTTTATAGTACACATGGCACGAGGCATCTGGTTTTTGTCATGAAAAATGCACAGGACCATTTCCCTTTTCTTGTATTGTTACCCACTATGGAAGAGTAACCTGTTACCAAGCGGTCTGTTTGGTAAGCTAGCAACAAGAATTGTAAAAAAGGAAGAGTAACCTGTTGTTGTGTTTCCAGTGACGGCGACGAATCAGGCTGTTATCGCGCTGAGGATGCTGCGGGAAAACAGGGACATGTTTGATCTGGTTATCAGTGATGTGCACATGCCAGACATGGATGGCTTTAAGCTTCTTGAGCTTGTGGGGCTTGAAATGGACCTCCCTGTTATCAGTAAGTTCCAAATTTTATCCATCTCACAGCTGCCCAATTTTCTTACGGGTCTTGGTAATAGGAACATAGGAGGTAGTACTTATTTTAAGTTGTTGGATGTATGTTCTTTTATATGCAAAATATCAATTCAGCACAGTTAATCTTATGATTTGTACTTCTGATTGAGGAGGGGAAAGTGTCAGTACTAACCAATTATTTTCCATGCAGTGTTATCTGTGAATGGAGAGACAAAAACTGTAATGAAGGGGATAACCCATGGTGCCTGCGACTATCTCCTAAAACCTGTTCGCATTGAAGAGCTTAGGAACATCTGGCAGCATGTTGTTAGGAGGAAATTCAGTACTCGTGACTCTGTTAATCTTGATACCTATGAAGAGTGCAATAAGCCACCAAGTGCGGACTCTGACTATGTGTTCGGCCAAGTTACATGTGGGTCACCCGACCAAAGTGGGAGGCCCAGCAAGAAGAGGAAGGAATACCATAGTGAGGAGGAAGATGAAGACGAGGATAGCAGTGGCCAAGACAATGATGACCCTTCGGCCCCAAAGAGGCCAAGAGTTGTTTGGTCAGTTGAACTGCATAGAAAATTTGTTGCTGCACTCAACCATCTTGGAATTGACAGTAAGAACTTAACAGTAACTCCCTTCTCTGTTGCTACTTATTTCTGGAGTCACTCATGTTTCTTTCATGTTTATGCAGAAGCTGTGCCAAAAAGGATACTCGAGCTTATGAATGTTGAGAAACTCACTAGGGAAAATGTTGCAAGTCACCTACAGGCAAGCCACTTAATTTACTTTCTTGTAGTTATCAGCAGATTAGTACCATGTGTGTTCCATACTTGCCGAGCATTATCTGTACTGCAGCCAGCAGCTAGGCATTCGGAGATAACTTTTGCTGTATGTGGTTCTAGGCATTGTATATCCTGCAACTTTTATTAAGTTCTTCAATGCAAATGATACAGGTTACTAGCATATAATATATGCAAATATGCTGACTGGTTAGGAGTATTAAAGTTGATCTGAAAGAAAGCACTGCTCCCTGACTAACCTGGAACAAATATATTTTCATTCTCCATAGTAAGGCTGGAGTTTTGAAAAAAATAAATTATTTCTTCACTATTAAACACTGCAGTTTCATGAACAAATCCTGAAACAAGTAAATGAGTAATCTGGTAAGAACTGTATAAAAGGGGGCACTTGTCTGTAGCACTTCTCTACACCTTTTAACAAGATTCAGCAAGCATGTAGTATATGCTAAACCAGAAACTTAGCTCTATAATGATCCTATATATCATTTTGAAACGAACTAAATGCTAGATGTGCACAAATAGGTAAATACTTGTTATAACCTGCTTCACAAGTTTAACCGATTGCTTTGGTGTACATGCAGAAATATAGGCTTTATCTCCGACGGTTAAGTGCTGTGGCATCACAACAAGCTGGCATCGTTGCTGCCTTGGGAGGCAGAGACCCCTTTCTGCGCATGGATGCATTCGAAGGACTCCAGGGTTATCAAGCTTTCACCTCTCCCGCAGCGCTATCGACTTTCAGTGCACATGGATTGCTAAATAGTCCTAGAAACAACCAGACAGCGGTTGTGATTCAGGGGGTGGCCACTTCCAGGTCAATTCCGACTGGAAGTAGCAGTTGCACAACAAATCCTTTGATTGGTGATGCAGCTAAGTATCATCTTAGCCTACCAGGAAACCAGCATGGGAACTTGGGACAAGGTTTGGCGACATCTCTTGGGCAAGCCCAATTACAACAGAAGTGGATGAATGAGGGCAGCGGTGATCTGTCCACCATCCTTTCTGGGAATAGCCGGGCTAATGGCATGCCTCGCATGCTCCCAAGTGTCACAAGCAGTCCATTACTGCCTCCAGATCTTGTGGAGTGCACACAGGCCAAAGTAGCCATCCAGCCATCAGTTCGAGCTCCCTCTGCAAGTGTAGAACTTCTCGAAGGTGCCATTGGAGCCTCTTCTGGTCCATTGGAGTCTCGTGTATCCCAGCAGAGCGCTCTTCCTTCATCTGGATTTTCTGCAAACATGTTGCCTGTGCATGGTTCATTCAGCAATAATGGTGCTTCATTCAGCAGCAATGGTGCAACCAGATTGGGTGATGCATTCTCAGCAAGTTTTCGTCCAACAAATGACCTCACGGTCGCAAGAGGTACCAAAGTGGGAGCTGGCTCCTTTGGTGGCACGATACATTTGTCTCCAGATACCGAGCAGAAGTACGTGAGCTTTGGAAGTTCAGATAGTCTACTTGATCCGAAGCTTGTATGGAGTTCCTCTCAGCTGCCAAGCAATATTGGTGCTCATTATCATTCCATGAGCCAAAGGTCGAATAATTGCAGCATTGACAGCAGCCATGGTGGCAGAATGTTTGGACAGACAAGCGCGAGCGCCTCGACAGCTGCTCCACAAACTAAGTTTGACATCCTCTTCTCAGGAGACACATCGATGGCAAGGAATGCGTCTGAATCAGGCGCTCAAAGGCTGCAGAGCGAGCTCAGCTCCAGCACCTGCAGCTTCGACGGTCTTCTCAATTCCATGATCAAAGTGGTAAGGCGACCTTTTTAACCTCTTGCATACTTTTAATGTATCGTTCGCCGTAAGGAACATAACGAGTAGCTTCAGCCTAGTACAGCGATACATCATAATCTTTTATATTCATCATAATCAGCCTAGTAGAGCGATGCATATATCCTCAGCGCCACCCGAACTTGATTGATCTAATGATGGTTTTGCTTATGCATACACAGGAGAAGGACGACGCTGCCTTCGGCGGCGACGATCTGGGGTGCGACTTCTACTCGCTCGGGGCTTGCATATGACGAGAGGCCGCCGCCCGTGTATCCACGTCACTCTGCATCCTGTGTATACGCATGTTCCCCCGACCTTTTGTGTATGGTATGCCGTGTAGTGTAGCTAGTGTTGCTCATCTTTAGTAGGCCTAGTGCTTGGGCTGTATGTGTATGTATTGTAGTACTAGTAGCAGTAGCAGCTGTTGGAGAAACAAGTAGGATGACGGGTTGATTGCTAACCTGAGCAGCTAGAGACGCTGGTGGTTTGATTGTAAGCTTTATACAGGTGAGTAATCTATGATGGGCTTCGACCTGGAATTTGTATGTCATGCATAGGCCAGGTGGAATTTGAATCGAAATGTGGCTGGTGAAATGCATCCATCCAAAACCTGATGCATGCAGGAATGGATTTGGATTTGAATCTGAATGGCTCGTGAGGCCTCCATGAATTAGCTGTCTGTTCATAGATAAACTTCAATCACGCAGCCAAGGTATTCCTACTACCCACCCTTGGCCATCCAGACCTCGTCCGCGTTGAGCAGCATCAGGGGTGGGGTTCGGCGACCGGCATCCGCGTCTCGGTTCCTCATTCCGAGTTACGTTCTCTTCGATTGTTTCCAGCTCGTTCGCCTTCACCCGGCACGCCTGCCACGGAGCAGGAAGATGGCAGCGGCGGGGAGAGCATGCAGCCGACGCGCGTCGCCGCCATGGGCTCCTCGCCGTCGCCGCCATGGGCTCCTCGCCGTCGCCGCCATGGGCTCCTCGCCGTCGCCTGGTTCCACATGCTGAGCACCTTTCAGCAGCCCTGACCAATACAGCAAAAACCTGCATGTCGTAAAAATAACCTCAATAGGAGACCTCACCACATGTTTTTCGAAGGTAATCTTGTTACGAACATTCCAAACCCCCCAAATAACCGCAGCAATTTCATCATATAAAACTTCTCACTCCCAGGCAGGAAAGCATACATCCAAGTTACTCTGCCGAGCATTTCCAATTTCTAGGACAACAGGCAGCCCCCAGAAGGCCAGAATATTGGAATTGCACCCCCAAACTGACTTTGCAATGCTACAGGAGAAGAACAAGTGTTCAGCAGTTTCAATGTTATTGCAGGAGTCCAGTCCACTTTTTTTCTTTCTTTTTCAAATTATTATCTCTAGCCAAAATCGGCATTAGTAAAACTGGGGTATTACTAGCCTGCTAAGAGGAGCCTTGACGATGAAGGCAATGATATTTCTCCGTCCGGGGAGTACATTGGGAGACCCTGATGGACCCGCTGGACTATGGCCTGGGTCGTCAAGTGACAGTTCAAGAGATAAGTACAGGCCTTCTCCGGGAAGGTCTTCGTGGGGTCTTTCCGGGAGGACGTGTGGACACATCGCCTGCCCATTAGGGAGGAATGGGCCTTGACTCTGAAGACCACGCAATGACCTGTACCACGTGTTAGAGTTTGAGTAGTTTTCCTCATGTAATCTTAAACTACCTCTATCTCTCTCCCTCTCGTATCTGTTTCTGCCTCTGTACCGAACCAGGACAGGGCTCTCTCTTATTTCTCTTGTAAGCTAAGGCAAAGGCATATTTGCCCTCAATAAATAGCATCACGCGGCTCTCCCACGGGAGAGTAGGAACGCTTATACCAAATCTTACATGGTATACAGAGCTAGCCTCTTCCTTATCATCTAGCGACAAAAAAAAAACAGAACCCTAGCGCCCTTCTATCGCCATCATCATGAGCTCCAGCGCCGTCGGCCTCAACCTCGGCGCTCCACCAACAGAGAAGCTCGCGAGGGGGAATTATCTCCTATGGAAGGCGCAAGTTCTGCCGGCTCTGCGAGGCGCGCAGGTGACCGGTCTTCTCGACGGCAGCGATGCAGCGCCGCCGAAAACAGTGGAGGTCGCCAAGGCGGACAAGACCACGGCCATCGAGCCGAATCCACTGTATGGTCCATGGATTGCCAAAGATCAGCAGGTCCTAAGTTATCTGCTGAATTCGCTCACCCCAGAAATCCTCGCGCAAGTTATCGGTAAGGAAGGCACCCTCGATCTATGGACCGCCCTTACCACGATCTTTGCTGCGCAGTCGCAATCGCGAATAACAAACTTGAGGATCGCCATCTCTAACACCAAGAACGGCAACATGTCCAGCAATGCCTTCATTGCCAAGATGAAGAGCCTCGGAGACGAGCTTGCGGCAGCAGGTCGTCCGGTGACAGATGGAGAGATGGTGGACTACATCCTCGCCGGACTCGATCGGGATTACGATCCTGTCGTTGCAGCAGTTGGCGCCATCAAGAATTCCATCTCTGTTGATGATCTTTTCTCGCAGATTTCCGCTTTCGATCAGAGGATGGAGATGCTAGGCGACGGACCAGGTTTCCGTTCGTCAGCCAATGCTATGTACAGGGGGCGCGGCCAGCCCCGGGGCAGAGGAGGCCGCGGACGAAGAGGGCGTGGTCGATCCGACCGTGCTCCTTCTTCTCCTGTTCGCGGCGGCTACCGGCAGCGTCAACGCCAGCCACCACCGCATCAGCAGCAGCAACAGCATGAGGGTGATTACCCCGAGTGCCAGATCTGTTATAAGTACCATGCCGGTGGCGCCAGGGACTGCTGGGATCGGTACAAGGAAGATTATCAGGAAAAGAAGAAGGTTAACCTCGTCACCAACTCGTATGGCATCAACACTAATTGGTATGCAGACTCGGGTGCTACCGAGCATATCACAGGAGAGCTTGATAAGTTGACGATGCGGGAGAAATATCATGGAGGTGACCAAGTACACACGGCAAGTGGAGCTGGTATGGATATTACCCACATTGGCAATTCAATTGTTAAAACCCCTCAGAAATTTTTTCGTCTAAACAATGTCTTACATATCCTTCATGCATCCAAAAATCTTGTCTCTGTTCATCGTTTTACACTTGACAATAATGTTCTCATCATATTCTACCCTTATTTTTTTGTGATTAAGGATTTGGCAACGAGGAGAGTCATCCTTAGAGGAAGATGCGAGGGAGGTCTCTATCCAATCACATCATCTTCTTCTTCGTCAGAGTCAAATAAACAAGCTTGGAGTGTCACCAAACCATCTTCAGAGAAGTGGCATCAACGCTTGGGTCATCCGTCTTCAGTTATAGTTCAACATGTCATTAGCAAAAATAAACTTCCTTTTGGGTCTAGTATCGAGTCAATTTGTGATGCGTGTCAACAAGCAAAAAGTCATCAATTACCATATCCCATCTCTACTAGTGTATCTACTGCTCCATTGCAACTTATCTTTTCAGATGTTTGGGGACTAGCCCCCACTTCAGTCGGTAGATTTTCTTATTATGTAAGCTTTATTGATGACTATAGAAAGTTTACTTGGATTTATTTGCTAAAGAAGTGATCCGATGTCTTTCAAGTTTTTAGCAACTTCCAAAGTCTTGTTGAACGTCAATTGAACTCTAAAATTCTTGCCATGCAAACGGACTGGGGAGGTGAGTATGAGAAACTTAATTCCTTTTTTCAAAAGATTGGAATTTCTCACCGTGTATCTTGTCCCCATGCTCACCAACAGAACGGTTCTGCTGAACGAAAGCATCGCCACATTGTTGAAGTAGGACTAGCATTGCTAGCTCATGCATCTATGCCTCTCAAATTCTGGGATGAGGTCTTTCTTGCCGCAACATACCTTATCAATATTCGTCCCAGTAAAGTCATCAAATTTGAGAATCCTATCATTCGTCTTTTTGGTATTACTCCTGATTATACATCCCTCCGCATATTTGGTTGTGCATGTTGGCCGAATCTTCGACCATACACTTGCGTTCCGTTCCAAACAATGTGTTTTCTTGGGTTATAGTCCTATACACAAAGGGGTCAAATGTCTTGATGTCTCTACTGGTAGAGTCTACATATCTAGGGATGTTGTCTTTGATGAACTGTTTTTCCTTTCAAGTCACTTCATCCAAATTCCGGTGCCCTTCTTCGAAAAGAAATCCTTCTACTTCCGGAGTTTGATAAAGGGGGTGATAACAATTGTACTAACCAATGTGCTAATATTCCTTCTAGTTCTGCTCCTGGTACTATGCCTGTGCAAGTACATGAAGAAAACGACGTTCAAAACGGTCAAGATGATCAAAATCGATACAAATTGATGCTATATTTGATGTGTATGAGGAAGAAGCAGCATGCGTGGAGCACGAGGAGGATGCGGCGGCGCCTGCCACGCCTGTGCGCCGATCCGCCTTGGATCACGGGCGGAGATCCGCACGGGATCACGCGCTTGTTAACCGACAGGGAAATCAGGCGTCCCCGGCCCGCTCCGCATCCGCCACGTCAGCCCACATGCAGGGGACAGGAGAGGACGTGGGATTCTCCTCGTCCGGCGTGCGCATGCAGGAGACAGGAACACCAAGCTCAGGATCCTCTGCTCCAGCTAATTCTGTGGACCCGGTCATCGCTAGTACGGGTCGAGCCACACCAGGGTCCATTGGATCCGATACATCAGTCCAGTCTGCACACATGGATGGGTCGCCTGGATCTTTTGCCACCAGCCAGTCTATGCAATCTTCTATGCAACAACAAGAACAGCCTGCTACTACCTCAAGGGTCATGACCCGGCTACAAAAAGGTATTAGAAATCCCAAAGTAAGAAGAGATGGCACTATACCATATGGCATGCTATGTGTTTCAGGTGAACCAGCAAGGTTGAGTGATGCACTTGGAGATCCTAAATGGAGAAAGGCTATGGATGAAGAGTATGATGCACTCATGAAGAATAAAACATGGCACTTGGTGCCAAGTCAGAGAGGTAAAAATATTATTTACTGCAAATGGGTCTATAGAATGAAAAGAAAAGCAGATGGCTCTATTGATAGGTATAAAGCACGTCTAGTTGTAAAAGGATTTAAGCAACGATATGGTATTGATTATGAGGATACTTTTAGTCCAGTTGTTAAAGCTGCTACTATAAGACTTGTGCTAGCCATTGCTGTTTCTAGGGGATGGAGTCTTCGACAGCTAGATGTTCAAAATGCGTTTCTGCACGG